GTGATGTTGGTCACTGTTACAATAACCCAATATGGTCAAGTTGAGATATGCCTCTAATGGATGTAGTGAATCTGCCTTCAAAGGCTTGTTAAACAGACATCGGTGGTCTTCCTGGGCAGCAGCTTTGTGTATTTACCAACAGTGCTCTGAAGACAATCATAGTATTGTTTAGGTTGGAAAAGACCTTTAAGACCATCAAGTTCAACCAGTTCTTCGGGCAGAACATACATGTTTGTACAGCATCTGAAACAGTGGCTTTTCTGCAACTTGTGGTTCCCTAGTTAGTAAAAAATACACTCCATTAATTTACTAATACTTACTTACACCCTGAGAATCCCAAGCAGGAGCTTGGTGTAGGTTAATACATAATGAAAACATGTAGCTGAAATGAGTAGCTATGCAGCTAAAACTGCCTCAGTCCATAGTGGTATTAGGCTGAGATCTGCTTATGATGTTATTTTGTATGAGATGGAGATGCTTGTGTTCTGAAAGTGGTATCAGAGGCCCACTGAACCTTACAGAGCTGTTTTATGTTTCTCACTTTCTTTGTAGCTCAACTCTGACTAAGAGATGCTGAAGGAGGATGGGTTGCTTGTGTAAGAGTGATGGTAGAGCAGTCCCAGACAGCTAAGGAGGGGAAATTGTGGAAATGCCATAGTTATGATGTATGGTTTGACTTGAAACCACAGTATGTGCTCTGAAGTGCTGGCCCCTGAGCATGAAGCTTGTAAGTGTTGCAGCAATTTTAGGAAACAAGTATCTGGTAAAGGATATGCCCGTGGGTATTTTTCAGATTAAACATGGAGGCCTGAGAAATAGTTATCCCATTCGATGTATGTCAGGTGTCTTGTTCAGCTCTTGTACAAGTTGTAAAGCAGAGATGGTACAGAAAACCAGGCCTTTCCTAGAACTGTGACATAAACGTGGCTGAAGCTGCTGATAAACTGAAGGCTGTGTTTCTGTTGCCACTGAAGCAGCATCAAACAAGGCTACGTAGGTGAGGATGTCTAAAGGGAGCTGGGGGAGGCAATATAGCAGTTCAGTTTGCTGAGCTGGCCAGTGTCTGCACTGCCGCCCGGCAGCTAGCATGTGTGGTGCACCTCTTCAGGTTCCTGCTAGGGACCCTTGTAATGTCATGCAGGTGAACACACCATGGCATTGCTTATTCAGGGACCAAATGGATTTCTGCTTTCACTGAAGCAATTTATGGTGGTCAGCACAGGTGCTGTTATGGTGTAACAGGTTGGAATTATAGCTTTGTCCGTTGTGCTTTGCACATACTTCATGATGTTGTTCTATGCTGGAGGTAGGGGTAAAACAGGCCTGGTGTTGAGATTGTCCTCCTTCTGACAAAAGAAAAGTGGATCATAAACCTCTTTGAAGTTGATACAGCATCACTGACCAGATCTGGTAAAAATGAATCTATTTGTCAGAGGAATTTGATTGCTTTCTCCAGGCTGTGGATTATTTTAAGGACTTACCCAAGCAGAGTCAAAGCCTGGAAAGTTATGATGCTGTCCCTAGGGCTCTTTGTCAGGCATCTTTTCACATTTTTCAGTCTTTTATTCAATCTAAAATAATTGCAAGCTTCTAATTCCCCAGTTCAGATTTTTGTGAAACTCCCAAAACAGCCTCTGGTCGTAGGCATGTTTTTGCTAGGGACTCTGTACAGTACAGTGCATGTTCTCAACCTGGGATAGTATACGTTTTCTTCTTTTTCTTTCCCAGCAATAGGCATACTGGATTGAGTCCTGGGGTTGTAAGTGTTTATAGCTCTGCTTTCTTTATAAATAACTTCCTTTCAGAAACTCAATAGCTTCTGGTTAGACTTGTGCCCACTTATGATTTAAAGGCGTTAACAGAAAGGCATTACAAAATATTTCCTAGCCTGGAAGGAACTTGCTAGTAGCTTTACTACATTTGAGGTGAAGAATTCCAAAATAAAAATGCAGGAGATGATTGTAGAGGAGGGAAGAGTGTTTAGGATTAAGCATTTTGCTAAAGGCTAAAATACTTTCTGGAAATATGCCATGCAATCCTCAGGGGTTTTTTTGTGATACCATGATGATTTGGATCATTCTGTGCTGTTAGTGTTGTTCCTTGAGCCAGTCGATGTACTACTATACAGATCAGTGTGTTTGTACTAATCCCCTTTTTTGTTTCTGCTTGTGGCATGCAAATTCCAGCGTGGTTGCATAGCAAATCTGTCTGAAGAGGTGATGGAGTGTAGTACTATGGAGTAGTTGAGCACTGTTTCCTAGTACGGGCTGCCTTTGGTAGTCCATGCCAGCCTGGGTTCTAGCTCTGCTGTGTGTCCTGGAGCTCTCCCTCTGGCAGGGCTGCTGCCTGTTAACAATTGTCCTGGACAGGATAATGCTGATTAACCCTGAATGTAGGTGACTCAGAGCATCTTCATCACACCGCTGTGAACTACCTGTTTCCCTTGAAAACAGAGCAGGTGCGTTCTGTAAGGAGACGCTGTTGAAGGCACAGTAAAACACTATGTCTGTAGGGGCATGCCGAGGATATAATTGCAGGAACACCTGCTGTTGAATTAATCCATTTAAAGAGATGTGGAATGCTGATTTAATTTCCTACAATGTTTTTGTAGGATGGTCTGATCATGATGTGGCCAATGAGGAATTTCTGCATCTTAACCTAGTTCTGATACCTTTTAAAATTGTTGTGGACAGGGGTCTAAGTATCTTTATTACCTCTTGTCGTGGTTTAACCCGGCTGGCAACTCAGCACCACGCAGCCGCTCGCTCACTCCCCCCTCCCTCAGTGGGATGGGGGAGAGAATCGGAAAGAAAATAAAAGGATAATAATAAAAGAATGTTATCAACATTCTTCTGGTACTAAATCCAAAACACAGCACTATGCTAGCTACTATGAAGAAAATTAACTCTATCCCAGCCGAAACCAGGACATTA